AACATGAGCATGTTGCTTTGAATTTACTCAACTCAGTTAAGTGGAACCAGGTAACATAACATGGTTAAGTAAATCCAACATTTCCTTTTTAGAGTAAGGCTAACCTCACAGGTACCTACCTACCTGACCCTAAAACTAACCTAAACTCAGTTCACACCTTGGTCCTAAACCATGACAAAAATATTAATATCCAGGAAGCCTGGAGAACTGATCATGACCCCTATAAAAGACTACAAAGCAGTCTGGCTTAAAGGATATAAATCATAAAGATAGCAGGTATGGCTGAAAATATTTGCACAGTTCTTCAAATATTATTACAGTCCAGCTGGAAGCTGACCACTAATAAGTAAAAGGCAGATAAATATGTTTGTATTAGAGATGTAGAGATTAGCACCGTTAAAGAAAGAGACACACTTTTTTAAAATGACAATTTATTTCTATTTATAATCACAATGAGGGCACACCTAACAAATTTTACATATTACCTACACTTTAAAGTGGAGACAGAACAGTTTTAGTAACAGATTCAGATCAAATCATCTAATTTTCTCACTTATTTACATAAATAACAGCTTTTGTTGCCTGTTCTGTTAAGTTTTTTGGTTTTAAACGTTCCTAAATGTGTTTGCAAGTTAAACCTCTGACTGGGTGGAATATTTTTACATGAACGTCTGAGAAACTACAAACACACATCATGCACTGTTGATCTAAAGACTATGAGACAAAAGCTAAGTATTGCACATGTTCACCTGGTGAGTGTGTTTTAAAAAACTAATATTTACCTTTCCTCACCAGGAACACCCTCCTTTATTGCTTCTTAAAAAAAAAGTAAGACAGAACAGAGCTGTCATGTAGGAACAAGCCAGTCGTTTTGAAGCATCGTAAGAAATCTGCAGCTTTCAGAGCTGCGATGTGTGCCTCGTTGGTAAAAAGTAGGTTCATATTATTTCATCTCAGAACATAAGTGGATTTAAGTGACTCAGGATTAGAGCTACAAGCCACAGTTATAGTCCTCTGTTCAACATATGGAGCATTATGACAAATGTAGCCTTAAAAGCGGATTCAAAAACATGGTTTAGCAACATCTGCCAGTCATGTAGGCTACAAATGTGATCTCCTGGTGTGCTGATATGATTACATTTAATCATGTCAGCAGTGTGCACACCAAAGCGTTAGCCTCGCTAACTCATAATCTGCTAATTATAAGTATTGCTTAGCTAATGCTAAACATATAAATAAAAAGAATTAGCAGAAGCTAACGCTAAACAAGTAAAAATGATTAAAGCTAACCACTAAGACGACTGTCCCTCAGTCTGTGTCACGTCTTTTTGTCTCCTTCCAGCTAAGACTGGGACTGACACAAACCTGTTGATGTTAGTTAGCTGTTAGCAGAATTAAAGTAGGCAAAACCTAACTGGTCTGCTAACGTTTTTCAAAGTTGGTGAAAAAAAAACTACTCTGCTAAACAAAAACTTAGTTCAGCGATTAGCAGATGGCTGATTAGCGGAACCATGCCCCATTAGACTCTGCCGTGTTTTCACAAATATTTCTGTTCCAGGCTTTAAACTACAGGAATATAGAGTTTATCTTTAATATCAGGTTTCACCGCACACATCACAAGTACAGGTTGTTCAAATAAAAGAAATCCTGTTTGATTATGATGCACGTGTGCGTCCCAATCTGTTGACTGATGTTATACTGTGTGCCCAGTTTGTACACAAGTTCCCAAAATATGTCAAGTTTCTTCTCTAAGTACACGACTAAACAGCCATTGACAAACTCAGAGACGGTGTATTTGGTCAGTCAAGGAATTCTCATAACTGGTGCTAGAAATTACAAAAAAAAAAGAATAATAAAATAAAAAAATCCATCTAAACTCCAGCTTTAATCTGAGAGTTCAGGAAATAGTTTCTATTCGCACCTGTTTTGAAATAAAACTTGGTGCAGACTCGATGTTCAGTTAAATAAGTCTTTCAAGATTTCAGGTATTATTTTGTCCCACCAGTAAAGTCTGGGAGCTCTCTTATACAAGGCATAGTCATTCCTTTAGATGCTTAAACATGTACAAAGTAAAAGAAATAATTTTAAAACAGCACTATCGGAAATAATATGAAATTATTGGACGTGTGAAACAAAATTAGACAAACATCATCTACTGAAAAGCAAAAAGGTTTATCTTCCTTAATGTCACAGATTTTCAAGTAGTGAATAAAAATAAAAACAATGAAAACATTAAAAAATAAAAAGGAATGACACAAACTGCATGTATTTGGTACGAGAGCTCAACCAGTTCTGGAAATTATAAAACAATCCATCACATCAACCTTTCATCCTTTTGCTGACCACGTTTACCTGCTTTTTGTAAAGCGTGAACAGCTGCAGCCGTGGTCAGCAGCACAGGAGGTGATGTTTCTTAATGTATTTCTTTTTTTTAACCAAACTGTAAACCTCATGTTGGATTCAGACTGAAGAGTCAAATCTGCAGAGGTGAGAAGGCGTAAAAAGGAAACTGAGCCTCGTCTTCGTCCACAAAGAAACACTGGAAGTATGGCAGCTCATCTAGAAGAAAATACACAAAAAAACAAAATGTTACCTCACTTTTCTGCTTTGACTGATGCTGTCTGAACGTTTCTGTAAGAGAATTTTAACCGACCTTCCAAAAAAAGGCTCTCAGGAGGTTTTTCTGTAGACAAGAAACCAAACTGTTAACCTAAAGTGGTGCAATATTACAACATCTGAAATTACTGTTACCTTCAAACGGCTCCTCCTTGGCAACTTTCTTTTCAGCAGGTTTTTCTGCAATGACAGTTTTGTGCAGAAATAAACAAGATGCAATGTTTATTTTTTATTTTTTTTACAAAGCAAACTGTTTTAAATTCGTACCTTTCTTTACAGACGCTTGGATCTCCTTAAGAACTCTGTCTTCTGCAAATAACAAAATAAAAAGTATTTAAATAAAAAAAATGAAATCACATTTTATCAAGCTGCTGTCTGACCAAGATATTTCTGTGTTTTACAGTCAGTTTACTAAATTAACTTAATTAATTAAAGGGGGTTTCACATTTTACCTTTAGCTTCTTTTTTCTTCTTCACAACAGTTTTCTCTAAATAAAAGATTCAAACAGGGTTTTAACATTAAATAATATGGAGAATATAGTTTGATTTACCAACAATTATTTTCATTACTGATTATTTGC